CCATGTGGCCGACCAAATAGAAAGGAGGGCTCTGTTTGTTTGTTACCACCCACTCTGCGACCCCATCCCCGAACCTTTGGTCCGGTTGTTTTCCTTGACTCCCAGTGGATCCGTGTGCTCACCTCAAGTGACCTTTCTGATTTCTCTCGTAGTTTTCCCAGTTCTTCCTTCAGGTTTTCATTCTCATCACTCAAGGCTATTAGCTGCTCTTTGGCTTCTTTGCTCTGTGTCTCAAAGAACTGGCGTTCCTCCTTCCGTCTCTCTGTCCAGGCTGCGAGCTCCTCAAACCGTCCCTTCATGGCTTGATTATTTAGCTTCATGGCCTCTGTGTGTTGGGGAAAAGTGAAGGAGTCACACGCCAAGCGGGTGGACTTCATCCGATCAATCAAACATGCCCTGAGATCCCTTCGCTACCCAGCTCTAAATCTACCGCTGCCGTGCTTGGCCTGGGCCCACGGTCAGCAGGAAAAAGATCTAATATTATTTCCTAGCCCTAAAAGAACAGAATTAATATATGTGTTCCCCCTACAGCCCAGAAACCCATTAATAATTAGGGGAGTGAGGAAGGTCTTATCACTTTTAGATTCACACGCTGGTTCTGCCAAAAGCTATGGTGTGAGCTATTGGAATGCTTTCTCTCAACAAGGTGATATATGGGAATCTAACATCAGCAGCCCCTCATCTTTTGAATAGGTGCCCTGGCGGTGCCGTGGTTAAGCACACAACCCCTGCACAGTGGCACCCGCCACTATGGTCCAGAGTCCAGAGTTACAATAGCTTCGGGGGGCCTTGTTTTCGGGGGGACGCCTTATATTTCAGTGAGAGGCAAAACTGTAAGTAGGCCTTATTTTCGGGGGATGGCTTACTTTCGAGGAAACAGGGTAGAATGAAAATGCCTGGCCAGACTTAGGTTAACAGTAGCTTCATAAGGTGTAGTCCAGAATTTCAGAAGATAGGAACTCCCCTGGCCCCCCCAAAGAGCCTCTATAACTCAAAGTCCTGACAACTGTCTGCTAATTCCTCCTCCAATTCATGTCCTGTCTATTTAGAAGCCAAATCACAGGAGCAATATGCTTGGTAAAATAATGAGAAAATACATGAAAGACTCAACATTCTCCCAGATAGGTTGCTAGAAACATCTGCTTGGTGTTTCAAGGTTGGTAATAACATCAGTCGCATGAGAGAGTGAGGAGAAAAAAAAAAAAGAAATTTGGAAGCTGGAATGTAGGGTAAAAAAACTTAATTTCAGTCTGAATAGCATTCACACTTTCTAACGTCAGGTGCAGGCTCTACTTGTCCTGTTGCAGGGACTGAAGCTGACAAAGTCCTACGGGGAAGACCTTATCTAAAGGTGGAGCTCTCAGTGGGAGTGGGGAGAACAGTTTCTAGTCCAAGGATTG